TAGGTTTCAGACCATTTCGACCTTTTTATGAAAAATAACTAAATGAAAATATTTTTTCCTTCGACCACTTAGGAAAGTGACACATATCACACTATATAGTCCTATGGAAAGTGCCCTATATCACACACGTATGAATAAGAATTTACTTTCCACCCGTGTACGAATATGCTACTTTCCGCAGCAGCTGTCACAAAATGTCAAACACATCATTTCTATTTTGATCTATGTTATGTCCATATTAATACTAAAATCGATATTATGATTAAATTATTAAAATTGACGATTAACTTATATTTATTTTTAACAATTATTAAAATAATTTTAAAATAACTACATACATATCATTATTTTGGCTTTTTATTCTGTTTAAACTTAAAATCAAATTAAAAATGCATTTGACATAAGACCTATTAGCTCAGGTTTTAGGGTAGTTGCAATTTGAACTTTGGCTTACACGACGGGTCCGCGGGCCCGCGGGCCCGCGTTCAAAACTTGGTGGTTGCAGAATTTTTTTTTGTTTTTTAATTTTTGTTTCGAAAAATATGAAAATTGCATAAATACAATTATTGTTGATTATTTTTAAGTAGGAAAAATATTGTACATCACTTGTGTGAAAAGTAATTTTCCACACTGGTGTGATAGTCGCACTCGGCTTGTGCCTCGTGCGACAATATTTTCCACTCGTGTGAATAATGTCACTTTCCACACACGTAATGTAATATACTATACTTGTTTCTTTCGACTTACTTCTGTTTTGAATGATTCCTACAAAACGGAAAGCACATAAAATGTTTGTAAATACGCAATGTTGCCACATTCACTGGCTCAAGATGATACGGAATTACTTTCAATACGTATATATAATTATATACCGCAAATACCTACCTAAGCGCCGCAAGCGTCAAATTGTTGAACTACATATTGGAGTTTCGTATGTTCCTGAACCAATAAAAAAGGGGGAATATCCGGCAATGTGTTGGGCCCGAAGATTTGAAAACATAATTTACAGATTCCTTTATTATGGAACTATTACAATCAAGTTTCACTTTAAGCATAGAGTGGGTATTAAATAATTTAACACAGCAAACCAAACTTGAACCAATATACTGGTTCAGGTTTGTGATGGTGGTTCAAGTTTGTTAACCCAAGTTACTACTTCTGGTTCAGGTTTGGATGGTTACCGTAAATATATATATATATATATATATATATATATATATATATTAAAAAGTAGAGGTCCCAAATGTGAACCTTGAGGGACACCAGATGTAGTGGTAAAGCCATATATATATAACAATGACATCCAAAATTGTTTTAAGAATTCTCAGTTCCTTTGCTTTGCTGATGATTTAAAATTATTCATGCGTGTAAATTCCTTACGTGATTGTATTTGCCTTCAAAAAGACTTGGATAACTTGGTCCAATGGTGTAGTACTAATGGAATGGAATTAAATACAAGTAAATGTCATGCAATCAATTTCAACAGAAAACATAGTCCTATTGAATATATCTAAAATCAATGACATAACACTGGATACTATTACAGAGGTAAAAGATTTGGGTGTGATATTAGACTCCACCCTTTCTTTTCAAACTCATATAACAGCCTCAGTTAATAAAGCATTAAGAATGTTGGGTTTCCTTAGAAGAACTACTTCTGATTTTCATAATGTGATGTGTTTAAAGATTCTTTATTGTGCCTTAGTTAGACCTTATATTGAATATGCTTCTTCTGTATGGAATCCTTTTTATGTATATCTAATCCATAATATAGAACAGGTTCAAAGAAAATTTTTACGCATTGCTGCATTTAAATCGGGTATTGTCCCGGTCAACTTCAGATACAATTATGACGAATTACACACACTTTGTCATCTTGAGACCCTTCTGAGCAGAAGAAACCAAAGGGATCTTAAAATATTGTTTAACATTATTAACTCATCTGCCGATTGTCCATACTTGTTATCCCAAATTGGATTTTCTGTACCCTCTAGAGTAACTAGAAATATTAATACATTCTCTCAACCTTTTCATAGAACAAATTATGGTTCTCACTCTTTTATTCCTAGAGCAACAAGATCTGCTAACAGACTAAATGTAGAATGGATTACTTCTCCATCAGATTTTTCTATCCATTTATGTATATGTGAGGAGTAATTTTTAATTGTTTTTAATATTTATGTATTTAAATTAATTTATTATTATTATTATTTAGGATTTTATTACTATTTAATGTATGTAATATGTATTATCTGTAATTGTATTGTTTTAATGGGCTCTGACCCCGTAAATAAATAAATAAATAAATAAATGAATAGAAAACAGGGCTGATAATAACAATACCAAAAAAGGTACATATTAAACTAACCCCTCTAACTACAGACCCATAACTAGTGATTGGAAAGAACTTCGAAAAAATAATTTAAAAAATGATGGAAACTCAAATAGGAAATCTTATTCCTAAATACCAGTTTGGTTTCAAAAAAGGCTGCTCAACCTTACATCCTCTATCAACATTGAAACTGCCAAACTTAATGGTGAAAAAACAGCCGTGCAATTCCTTGATATTAACATGGCACTTGACAGTGCCTGGCACAAGGGTCTCCTTTTTAAAATGAACACATTAGGGTGCTCAAAACACATCACATTAATGGTTGACACAATCCTAACTGGATGACCAATGAAAATTAAATTAGGCAATACTTTATCTAATGCATTTGAACCTAAACAGAGACTGCCCCAGGAATCACCTATATTACCTCTTCTTTACAACTTGTACTGTTCAGATATATATAATAACGATCCAAATTATTTTAACAACACAGTTATTCTACAATATGCTGTCGACACATCATTAATCTCACATGGAGAAATCTCCGAAGTACAATAGTAAATTTGCAGCAACTGGTAGTACACACAATAACCTAGTTTAACAGATGAAGACTTAGACCTAACCCCACCAAGTCTGCAATGGTGATCTTTCAAAACAACATAACAATGAATTATCCCACCATCAACATATACAATTATACCATCAGACCACAGCCTTCAGTGAAATATATGGGCATCACAATTGACAATAAAATAAACTTTAACATTCACACAAAAACAATAAAAAAGAAAGTAATAAAATGTGCCAAACATTTCAGGAGTCTAACTAAAAGTGGAAGAGGTATTAATATACAAACGGTGACTACAATATATAAAATGATCTGTAGACCTATTATAGAATATGGACATCCCATATTCCTCAACATAAAGAACTCGGCTAAGAAAAACCCACAAGTTGCCAAGACCACTGCTCTGAGATGTATCACCAAATTACGACACCCAAACAACACAATCCACAAAATAGACTGCTATATGAAACCACCAATATCACACCCATACTACAACGTTTAAATGAACTGACAGGCAAATTCAACCAGAACCAGAATTCAACAAGAAAAACAAAAATAAAATGGAAACTTTGTTTAAAAATATATGGGCGGCCTAGACAACAGCACCCTCAAAACACCATTTAGGAACTAAATGAATAAAATACTTTTTTTTCTTTTTTTTTTATTTATTAACATAAAATCACATCTATTTTTAAAATACATTTTTTTTCTTTTTTATTTTTTAATATAAAATCATATATATGTATATTTGTTTCTCTTGGATTTTAATTTATGTTTTATGTATAATATTACACTGCCTAAAACAATTAATGTAAACCATAGGCTAAAGGACCTTGGTCAATGGCCTTTTGTAACTTTCATTAAGTTTCAATAAAGCACTTTTATTATTATTATTATTATTATTATTATTTTTTTTTTTTTAATTTGGTGTCATCGGCGTCGACTACTACGGCCATTAGCCTCGTGTTCTGTGTAGGCTTTGTTACTGTTTCCCAGCGCCACTTTAGGAATAGCACTGTTAATTAGAACCCAACAGTGAATGGTCGAGTGGGGAATCCTACCAAGGCATCAGAATTAATTTCAAATAATTAAATTAAATGAAAAAATCCCGGCCAACGGTGGGATTCGAACCTGAGACCTTCCGATCTCAAAGTCATGACTCTAACCACTGAGCCAACCCCCCCCCCCCTATTATTATTATTATTATTATTATTATTATTATTATTATTATTATTATTATTAATGGAAATTTTGGAAAAAAAACTGTTAGCATGTTAAAGAAGCAGAGGGGGTCACATGCCGGATATAATTTTTTTATTATTAATAGTAACATTTAAACTTTAAAATAATACATTATAATATTTCAAGGGTTTTTTGTATTTATTATTAAATTAAATACGAAGGTTAAATTTGGACACCCATTAGTAAGTTATGGTATGCTTCTCCATAGGTATGCTTATAAAGAAATTCCTTAAGTGCACCCATCTGTCATACAGCAAAATAGTGTATGACATATCTACTTCATTCTATCTCGATTGGAGCAAACCACAACCCACCTTTCTCTAAAAAGCTACTTTATAATAGGTTCTTTCGTTCGTCCCACTGGTGTAGAAATGAACTGCACAAGGGACATTAAACCTTTCATTTAGCCCAGTGTAAAACCCACTATACCTTCCTGTCGGTGATGTGGTGTCCACTGGTGGATATTTTCTCCACCAGCTATTTAGCAGGAGTGAATTACACTTAACATGTGTATAGGGAATAACGAGGAAGTACATTAGGGTAAATAAGGTGGTGTAACCACTGGTGGACACTGCAGCAACAGCGAACAAAAGAACCTAATGTAACATTCTTTAAATTACAAATATTTTTTAATTATATAGATCACAAACTCTTTGCAATGTATTCCTAATTAATGTCTTTTAAAAACAAGAATTTACTCTAAAAAATAATATTTAATTATATAAATAAATTTCAAAAAAATAATTTTTTTAGAAGTTTCTTTCCTACAACCTACAATACAATATAGGTACATGGGTGTAAAGAACTTCCACTGTTGGCGGGTTCTGTGAAATCAAACAAAAAAATTGCTCTACTTACCTAAATTGAAACATTTTGTTTCCAATAATGCCTTTGCAGTTATAAATTCCCCAAACTTATCGGAAACAAATTTTTCAAGTCTTTTTCCTAAATCGTTAGGAACCGTTTGCCATTCTTCTTCAGTGAGAACACTTGCAAAAACAAAAGAGTCCTCCATTTTAATTAAAAATTTTAACGAAAATTATTTGTCTGAATTGATTTTAGAACATTTCACTATTTACATTTAGGACACTTGATGCAAGAAAATGCTTTTAAAGACTCCACTTCTTGGTGATATATAAAATTAAACAAGACAAGAAAACATTTATAACGCCAACATGCCGGCAAAGTTCCGTTCCAAGTAACGTTCGCTGTTTCGTTCTTTCGCCAGATCCATAGAAAAATAAACCAGAACCAGATCAGAGTAAAATTTAGTGAAACATTTGCCTTAGAACACTATTCCTCTCTTTCTGTTACGTAAGAGTTTTCGCCTCTTTCACTCTTCTGACAAATGAACACTTTTTTTGGAACGTTGATCTTGTTCCTTTCCAGGGGGTCGATTCTCGACTTTTATTCCCATGGGAAAATAAAATTTTCCCATGGGAATTCAGTTTTCGTATTCTCGGCATAAGCGGTGGAATATTTTCCAATGAGAAGTATGGGAAAATATTCCCCTGCTTACGAGCATTGGAAATTGTGTTTTCCAATGGGAATTGTACTAGAGTTTGCGCATTAAAGTCGAAAATTTGACGAAAGACCACGCGAAAGACTAAGACATAACCAAAGATTATTGGATATCTTGGTGAAATTGTAGTTAAAACATTTTTTTTGTGTATTTACAAATTGATATTATTTTATTTATGTGGGTATATTATTTTTACCTCTTTTTCACTAAGAAACTGATTTTCTTAAATTAGTTATAAATTGTGGGAGTTGCTAAGGGACTGGCAAATAGGTAACACAAATTGAGAAATTTGTAGTAAATTTAATAAGACCTTTTCGAAAATTTTATTATTTCCGTTAACGAAAGAATTTCTTAGTTTCTCGAAACTTTCGTTGCTCTTCTATACAAAAGCTACTTTTTCTTTTTTCAATATGTGAAAAGAAAAACTAAAAATAACTCGAAAAGTTTTAATTATACATAATCGAATATTTTCACTTGTCCTCGGTCAAGCTAGCGATTGCTCGGCACGGCATCTGCTCCAGCGCAGAGGCTCGGCAGGTAATCGGTTACCCAAAAACCACAACAAATACAAATAATACCAACAGTAAATTTTAAAATATCTTTAATGTTATTGGTTATTTCGAAATATTCGTGAACTTAATATCAGACATACGTGAAACTATTATTTCCATGGGAATGTCTATTCCGACAAGTTCGAGAATTGCATAACCTATTACCATGGGAATATAAGTAGTGGAATCTTTTCCCATGGGAAAATTTTCCAATGAACTCGAGAATCGAGCCCCTGGGGGTCGATTCTCGACTTTTATTCCCATGGGAAAATAAAATTTTCCCATGGGAATTCAGTTTTCGTATTCTCGGTATAAGCGGTGGAATATTTTCCAATGAGAAGTATGGGAAAATATTCCCCTGCTTACGAGCATTGGAAATTGTGTTTTCCAATGGGAATTGTACTAGAGTTTGCGCATTAAAGTCGAAAATTTGACGAAAGACCACGCGAAAGTCTAAGACATAATCAAAGATTATTGTATATCTTGGATTTTTAGTGAAATTGCATGGAAATTGTAGTTAAAACATTTTTTTGGCGTATTTATAGATTGATATTATTTTATTTATGTAGGTATATTATTTTTAATTCTCTTTCACTAAGAAACTGTATAAACTGATTTTCCTAAATAATTTAGAAATTGTGGGAGCTGCTAAGGGACTGGCAAATAACACAAATTGAGTGTAGTAAATTTAATAAGACCTTTTCGAAAATTTTATTATTTTCGTTAATGAAAGAATTTCTTAGTTTCTCAAAACTTTCGTTGCTCTTCCATACAAAAGCTACCTTTTCTTTTTTCAACATGAGAAAAGAAAAACTAAGAATAACTCGACAAGTTTTAATTATTATACGTAATCGAATATTTTCACTTATTCTCGATCATGATAGCGATTGCTCGGCACGGCACCTGCTCCAGCGCGGAGGCTCGGCAGGTAATCGGATACCCAAAAACCACAACGAATACAAATATTGCCAACAGTAAATTTTAAAATATCTTTAATGTTATTGGTTGTTTCGAAATATTCGTGAACTTAATATCAGACATACGTGAAACTACTATTTCCATGGGAATGTCTATTCCGACACGTTCGAGAATTGCATAACCTATTACCATGGGAATATAAGTAGTGGAATATTTTCTCATGGGAAAATTTTCCAATGATCTCGAGAATCGAGCCCCAGCAGGGGGTCGATTCTCGACTTGTAGGAACCTTTTCCTATAGGAATTTGTGACACTTTCCTATATGTAGGGAAATGTCATAAATTTTCTATGTATAGAAAAATGTCAAAAATTCCTATAGGAAAAAATTCCTACGAGTCGAGAATCGACCCCCAGGGGGTCAATTCTCGACTTGTAGGAACCTTTTCCTATAGGAATTTGTGACACTTTCCTATATGTAGGAAAATGTCATAAATTTTCGATGTATATAAAAATGTCAAAAATTCCTATAGGAAAATATTCCTACGAGTCGAGAATCGACCCCCAGGGGGGTTATTTTCAAACTCGAGAGAAAGGAGTGCTCTATTGAGAGAAAGGAGTGCTCTATCGAGAGAAAGGTAGTATGTGACTTGGCCTTGTACACACATCGGTTATGGGTATACACATGGAGGAAGGGTACCCACGCCCCTAATCACGTGGTCAAATTCTCCTGAGAATATGAATTCTCTCGAAATAAACCGAGAGAAAAGGTCAGTGAGTAGTCATGAGGTAGTCACTGGTTTTCAAAATACAGTTTCCACGTTGACATATGACATTTCTCCTGAAATCTTGAGAGAAATGAGTACTCACACGGTTTGAAAATAGGTCCCCAGGGTGGCTATTTTCAAAGTATGGGAGCACTCATTTCTCTCAAGATTCTCATCAGAAATGTCATACGTCAATGTGGAAACGCTGTTTTTAAAGACCTCGAGGATTAAAATTCTTATGAGGATATTAATTGTCTCTAAATAAACCGTGAGAAACAATCAGTAAGTTCACACTGGCCCTTAGGACCCTAAAAATACTGTTTTACGTTGACGTATGACATTTCTCTCGAGAGAAATGAATTCTCTCGACTTTGAAAATAGCCCCCCAGCTCGCTGATTTTTTTTACTAAAGGGAGCGATGTTGCAATTTTTCACTTTAGTGACTATTCCATCTGTTCAGATGGCAGCATCTTATGGACAGTACATTATTAAATCTTAACACAAGTTTCCTGAAATAATTAGGCAAAAATAAAATAATATATTTTGTGTGTTAAGTTTTAAATACTAAAAAAATGGTGAAAAGTCCATAACTTTTAAATATCACTTATTAAAATATTATACATTAAAAGTAAAACAAACTATAGACTTTCCACCATTCTTTACCGTACTCTTAACCCATTTTTAAAAACACTTTTTGAAAATATTATCGTTCACAGCTGTATTTTTTGTAATAAAAAAGTCGCCGCACTTGTCATTGACAACGCGTTGAACTTGGAGATTCGATGTTTGTAGTTAGATTAGGGGAGAGTGAATTTGGAGTTAATGGAACTGGAAATCCAAACTTACCTTTTTTAGTGAGATTTGTTAGAATGGATTGTACGGAGTAACCAAACGTCAATGTGACAATGAACGAACCACCGTAACCGAGTTAAGTGTTCTGTGGTATATTGACATTGCGTTCGGTTTGCCACGTTCCTTTAACTCCTTTAACACTTTTAACTCCAAACGACTCTTTTAGCGTTCGGTTTAGTCCGATTAGTGACAGTTTAACACGCTTAAATGTCATTTAAAAGCACCCTAAAATTTGTCCCGCTCCAGCCCCTGACTGACCGAACTCGCCTTATCAAACCACCGTAACCGAGTTAAGTGTTCTGTGGTATATTGACAAACCAAACAGAGAGTAAGTGTTCTGTGGCCAAACAGCAAACGAGAAACTACACCCAACCAACCGAGAAATAAACAACTAAATAAAAATATAAATAAATACCAATAACAAGAACGCTTGAACAAAACGCCAGTTTTTATTTGAAATGACTCTGTTTTATAAGAAAAATCTTAAATATGTCTGATAGTATAGATTTTATTAGTAATGATATGTCTTGTGTTGCTCTTGAAAATACCAAAACATCCTGCAACAATGCACATGAGCAAGAAGTAAACGATCTTATGAAATTTTTAAAACTGGAACAAAGCAAGTATTTACAACAGAAAATTATATATGATCTTATTGAAGATATAATAAATCATGATCATATGGATCCTAAATTGAAATCAAAAGTAAAAGAAGTTATGTTAAGTGAAAATGTGAAGCAGACTTCATCTATAGATACTAAAGCATACAAAATAAAGGAACTTCCTTTATTAGGTGTTGATAAACAAAATACAGTATTAACTTACTCGGAAAGTAGTGTACTTCAAGAAATGTTAAAAATGAAATTATCAGAAAACACTACAGCCATCACAGCATCACATCAAAGTTGGGCTGATTTAGTTGAAAGTAATCACCAATTACAACCATTACAGATAGATTCAGATGATACGGTTCTCTTAGAATATAGAAATAAACTTTATGTGGAGCAACAAAAATATATAAAGAATTTAGCAAATTTACATGATTTATTAGAAGAAATTGCGGAGGTAAGAGTAAAAAAACTACCAGAGCTTTTTGAACATAAATTGAAGGAATCTCAGCTTGTACAAAAAATTAACCACTTAAAGTGTACATTGGCTGATGAAAAATGCAATGTTGATATATTTACTGAGACACCTTGCTCTCTAAAAGCCTACAATGAACTGATCAATGAAGTAAAAGAACAACAGAAGGACTGTCAGAAACAAATTAATGATTTAAAAGAACTAAAAGAAAAATACAAACAAATATCTGGAAAGCAATATGATGACATCTTAAAAACATATTTGCAATATAAAGCTTCTTTAGAAAAGAAAAAAGTTTTATACAATTGTATAAAGAGCTAGGTTTTATATTAATGCACTACATAAAACTTGTAATTTTTCAATAATAATAATAATAATAAGTACTATATAGTAATAAAAAATGTTTTATTAGCCACACTAACTGTAAAAAAGACTCTAGGAAACTTTTTAATACTAAAACTACATGAATGTATGTTATTCCACAATTTATTTACAAACTGATGTACAAAATTTTTCTTAATAGTACATTGGGTTTTTAATATAAGAGTTATTTATAAATTGACACATACAGTTTACATGTGTGTTTAATAAATAATTTATAGAACTAAATTTAAAAAAATATTTTTTGTCATATGAAAATAATGGGGAAGTGTAAAAAAATACAATTATTTAAAAACGTTCTAAACATATCCTTTTAAAGTTAGCAAAAAACACTATTTGAAATTAAGCATCTCTAGTTTATAACTGTATTATTAGCACAACCATTTTCTACGTTTGATAAAAATGGGCACCTTTTGGCAGTTACATGTACTTAAAACTGTTTCATCATTTTGTTTATATGTATTTAAAGACTTGTGATTTTCCACTGTTGTAAAGTAATACTAGTATACCTCTTACATTATTTTGATACCCTGAATATGTTTTATAGTGCACAGTAAAAATACAAGAAAGCCATATTCTAATATATTCTTCATAAGCGAAAATAATTTTTAAAAAGTGATCTTTGTGAGAAAAAAATACTCATTGAGTATTCCCAAATGGCTACCAATGAGAGCATTTCAATCCACTTTGTTTTTAATTTTTGAAAAAATTATCTGCTTAATATTAATGACAGTTATTGATAACATTTGTTTCACTTTTTTTACTATATGATATGAAAGTCGTGTTATGTCAAAAAAATACAAAATTCACTTTATTATTTGAAAGCATGGTACCAATAGTATTTCATGAATTGCAATATTATGTCAGTATTCCATACCAAAAAATAATTCATAATATCTGGCAATATGATTTATGTATGAATGCTTATGTAGTACTTTTTATAGTTTCCTATAAAATTAGTTTTTCATGACATAGCTCGTATTGCAGTATCAATGATACATAAAATAAGTTATTTTTTAAAATATTGCAACTGACAGATAAATCATCAAAATTTAGGTGCCAGCTTAGAATACAAATTTGTAGTAAATATGTGAAGCATAAATTAATGGATATGCTAACAATTTCATTGTCTTCTACAAAGAATATTGCTTTTTCTGCTGCTTGCATACTAATGCATGGATTTTTCCTTCCTTTCACCCATCTTCAATCACTATCATCTTCATTGTCTCCTGAAATCAAAGTTGGAGCACAAGTTTTATCCTCAAGTAAGCCATGTTCTACTAAGTAGTTCTGCACATCCTCTGCCAAAAAATTTGTACCCAGCTCATCTGACAATCTAAATAAATAAATAAATAAGAGTTAATGTAAAAAGAAAATATCTTTATTGGGTAACCACAAAATGTTATCGACTAGAGTCTTTTAACAATTATTATTACATAATAATAATAATCTTCCTAATTCACCTCCTTACAAGTGAATTTTAATTCCTCACCCACCATAATCGAAACACATGACATGTGTCTTTTTTTCCACTGTTTTGTTGGAAATGTTGTTTCGCCGATTCGGACTTGAACGCCTAGTGTTGGATTCGATTTATTTATAGTTGACCGTTGAAATAAATAACAGTAACAGTTGACATTTTGGAATAAAATTTGTGTTTATAATTTTATTTGAATGTACCTATATACTTTAATTTGGACGTATATATTTTTAAAAGCTCATTTTTCGTTTTTCTCACAAAAAAAAAACAATTAAATAATTAATTCCTTGATTCTGATTAATTCTTGAAATCCATAGTTGTCACATCTAATCGGAAAAACCATACATTGAACTGATGGAATGGTGTTGCATCAATTACATCAACGTTGGATAAAAAGACAGTGCTGTTAGTTCATCATTGACAGATTGATGAAAAAAAAAGACAGGTAGATACTGCACCGTTGCCAACAGTTGGATAAAAAGACACATGTATGGAGATTTGTAATATGGATTAACAGAAATTAAATTACTGCTAATACTGCACCCATCAAATCCTACAACGAACTGTGAAATTTAATTAAAAACTCACATCAATCGTCCACTTCGAAAAAAAAATGTTTCCATTTAAAAAAAGCAAATTTAGCATGTTCCATATATGTCAATGTTGATTTTTTTCTACTTTATATTTTTAACAATTCTCACATTTAAGTATATGCATGAGAAATGTATTTTTTTATTTTTAAAGCACACTTAATATGCCCAAGTTACTAAAAAGTGCAAACAAATACCCAACTTGTTTTGGCAAATTAGATACAAAAATAATCTAACAAAAAAATTTTTATTTAATAAATCTTTTATTTGAAAATGAATTAGTCATTGTTAATGTATTTTTTAAATTAAAACACATTTTACAACTTAATATTAACAAGAAGTATCTCAATAAATATTACCTTACAAAGTTACCAACAAGATTCCCTGCTTTATAAACTAATAATGCTGGGACCCCATCCACTTTAAACTGTTGACTAATCCCTGCAGCTGATCCTTTTATACAACAAAATTTAACATTGTCATATACTTTGCACAGGAATTTTAAAGCAACATTCATGGTTCTGCATATCTGTGTCTCTTCGTATATGTGAACAATAATTGTGGCTTCTTTATGTTCTTTATCAATAGCATCCAAAAAATCTTGACCGGTTTGTAAAAAAAACAGATTACCTGTAATATACAATATTAATAAAGAACAACTATTATCTATGATGTCTGTCTACCAAATTTCAAGTTCAAGTTAGTATGTTGAATCATTTCTTTCATCCTCTGCTTCTGGTAAGTAATTAAATACTCATCATTAAGTAGTTCTGCAAGTTCAGGATCCTCCATAGCTGCTTTTTCCCGCTCCTCATCTAAAGAAGATTGGACAGTTAATGTGAGCTTCTTCATTAAAGCTATCTTCTCCTTTTCATCATCAATATTTTTTTCTCTTTCCAGTTGTTTGTATCTTTGCCAATCTTTTATTACACCTTTTGGACCCGTATTTGAGGAAGTTCCTTCCCATTTATTAATATCTGGAGGAGGCGGTTGTTCTTTATTTTCTGGTTGGGATTTTTTTGGTTCATCATCAGATTGGTCGTTGTCACTGCCTTCACTACTGCTACAATAATACTGAGATTTTTCACCCAAAATCTTATCTTCTAAACTAGCCATTGACTGTCATAAGATGTACAACTTAATTCAATAATAAACTGTTAATTAAACTTGTTAAGAAATGATTAAGTACTTAAAACATATTTAAGGTTATGTTTTGCTTTGCTTGATGCTTTTCCTTGCCCTCCTTGTCCTGTCACAGTTTTCTGAGTTTTCTCATGTCGTTTGTCAACATTCAACATTTCAACAACGTCAACTAACCAACTACCAACTGAAACAACTTGTTTTTAAATTTTTTTTGTAAGTCTTTTAAAGGGAGAGAACCTCAAATAAATGTGAAATAAAATAAGATAAAAAATTTGTTATTATTCATAACAAAAAAAATTCCCTATTATTGTTGTGCCTATTCTGGTTTTTGACACTTACGATGACATTTATCAGTTATAAAAACGAAAACGTTGAAATTTCTTGTTTAGTCTGATAATTAAAGAGCTTGTTGTGGTTATTCGTGTCTTTCAAGGTACTTACTAAAATCGTATCGATATGTGTGGTAAGTATTATATTATTGAATTAACATTTATATTATTTAGTTTATAATATTAAAATCACAGGTCCAATAATGAATCAATTGATATTTTTAAATGTTATGTTGACTTGGCAAATTTTTATCTATTTTAAATAATATACCTATAAATAATATTAAATTAAAAAAAATTTGTGGGGTAATAGTTCAATTAGATTTAAGTATTAAATGAGCCTAACAAAAACTTGTCCCTTCACTACGACCCCTATTGAGAACTATTACAGCTCATAGTTTAATTATATGACTACTCTATTTTATTCAAAATATGCAGAATATGTTTTAAATAATTGCTGAATTATATAATAAACCTGATTGATTTGCTAATATTTGAACCTACTCAATAGTCTACTTTTCCACTATGTAGTCAAAGTGAAAGTTGATTATTAAACTCATATCAGTAATATACCCACCTCACCTATCTATTGTTATTTAACTGATATATTTTGCAATGCCCTACCTACAGATATATCTCGCAATAAAGACCAAGGGCCCTGATGCAATTTTAATTCTGCAAACAGAACTGTACATTACATTACATTAACATCTGAAAAATTTGTTTAAAAATTTTAATCAGTACCTAGTTTAAATTAAGTAAATAAATACAAAATAAAGCAAGTATATTATCCAAATATTTACAAAAAAAAATATATCTCATTTAAAAGTACTTAAGGTGCATTATAAGATTTTAAGGTGAAACATATAAAAATAGTAAGTAATCCGGCTCATTAACATAAAATATTTGATCCTTCAGGTTACTAAATTAAACCTTTTTTTTATGAAAATGTATTAAATCTCAAATTTTTACTTTACACTAAGTACACAATTATTAGTGTGTTAGCTCAGTAGTTAGATTTATGAGTTTGAGATCGAAGGTTCTCAGGTTCGAATGCTGCCAGTAACATGATTTTTATTTAATTAATTAAATATTAATTCTAATGCATAGGTAGGATTACCTTCTCGACGATTCACTGTTGGGTTCTAATTAACTGTGCTGTTCCTAAACTGGCGATGTAAAACTAACAAAGCCTACACAGAATACAAGGGAAATAACCTTAGCAGTGGATGCCAATAACACTAAAAAAAAGAGTTGTGTATTATAATTTTGACCTTAAAGGTACTAGGTTTAAATTTCCCATCTTTATAAACTTTTAAATCAAACTACAGTGCCCATTTGTTCAGATTTTATACATTGTGTTCCATATTGGAGAGTAATAAGTATTTGAATAAAAAAAACATCGCAGTGGTTTTGCTTTTATATAATTTTGTATTTTACTTTGATTTTTATCCTAAAATTTCACTCTAAAGAACTTTTAGTATTACAGTTTTTATATCTTAAAAAATATTCTTATGTATTTTTAATAAATTATCTCTAGAACACATACAAGCAATTTTATTAGTCATATTTGGGTGTATTAGTTTTATATGAAGCAGGGCTAAACCCCACAGGGTGAATGTCCAACTCAAACATTTTTTGTCATTTGCCCCTATTGACCCCTCCATTCTGGGACACAGTTTATTAAGCACTATCCCAATTTTGACAATGAAAAAATAGAAAAAAAAACTACATTTAAGGATTAAAGTGAATTCACATTGCTTGAGTTATTTTGACTTCTAATAACATTTTATCAATTTGGATTATAGCTTAAACTTTGTTTAATTAATACAAATTTCTCTATAAACACCAAACACCAGGTCCATGTTGCCAACTGTTGAACCAATTAAAAAAATTGATAAATGAACTGAAATTTAAAGAAAAAAATAAATATAATTTTTTATTTATGATTTACATATACGTTTTATATTATTTGGCAGTTAGTCACTTACAAAAAAAAAGAAAAATAAGTACCTAAGTGTATCCATCTGAGTGTGCTATAGTATAAAAATAATAAATTAAAGTATGAATTTACAGAATGACAATATATAATTATAGCGACGATAATAAAGAAAAAAAATATTTCTAATGTGGAATGGGGGTGTATCAGTTAATTTACAAAATATATTTAAATAAATCTAAGTTAACAGTTACATATTGTTTAGCTCTGAGGCGAAATATATGTAATTAGGTTATATTTTTTATGTTGGTGTCATCAAGTTGTTATTTAACTTGGCTCTTGTGTTAAGGTGATGTGTAGAAATAATTCTTAATTGTGGTTTTTTATATGTTTTATATAAAAATACAATATAAGTATAGTTTGAATAAGGATAATTTCCTGGCGGTAACATAATTTTATATAAATAAAAATTTCCTTGGTTTATTCGGTCATGTTTTTATTTTCAATCATTTACGCAGGAGCACTACATATGTTTTGGATTTTTTTTTTTTCATCTTCTGGTGCAGTCAAAATTTAATAACGATTACAAACAGTTTAAAAGTTTTAAAACAACAGCAACCCCATCTTTCTGTCAGAAATATAATATAAATATATAATATAACTAGCTGGCCCGATCCCACTTCGCTAGAATTTCTCAAATCTCAATTATTGAAAGTGAATAACAGTTTTTGTTACTCGTGAGAAATTGTTTCATGCGATACTTGAAAAAAAAATTATTAATTTAATTTTTATTCGTTTTTATTAATTTTTTATAATTTTTATTGATTTTTATTATTTTTTATTAATTTTTATTAATTTTATTTATTATTTATATTTATTTAATTTTTTATTTATTTTTATTTTTTATTTGTTTATTTTTATTTATTTATTCCCCCTCCTTAAAATGTGAAAATCCAAAAACCTTTAAATACGTCATTATATGAGTAGTTACAATTCCAACTTTCATGTTCCCACCTTTAAGGAGGTCATTTCGCCACCAATATTAAATAAAAAATATTAGATTATGACTAAAATTATTTTTTTTCTAATAGTTGAAGTCCTTGTTTATCTAATAGTGAATTTTTAACTATACCTTACCGTGCAAATTTTTGATAATTTTTTTTTAAATATCAGTATTTGTACAGTGTCTTATGAGAAAGTAAGACCTCAACAACAATTTTCGAATTATAATTAAGTATACTATTATTTATTGATTAGATGGAGTAAAAAAAAAACTAAAAATAAGGTTTTTGAAATATTTAGGTTTTGTTTTTTACAATAAAATATATAGGTTACCGTGGAATTTATTGAGAAATTAATATTAAAAGATCACAAAAAATTTTCAATTAGGTTACTTGAATTTTTTTTTTTAATAATAATTTCTCAATAAATTCCACGGTAACCTATATATTTTATTGTAAGAAACAAAACCTAAATATTTCAAAAACCTTATTTTTAGTTTGTTTCTACTCCATCTAATCAATAAATAATTGTATAATTCGAGAATTGTTGTTGAGGTCTTACTTTCTCGTAAGACACTGTACAAATACTCACATTTAAAAAAAAAATCTCAAAAATTTACACCGTAAGGTATAGTTAAAAGTTCACTATTAGATAAATAAGGACTTCAACTATTAGAAAAAAAATTAATTTTAGTCATAATCTAATATTTTTTATTTAACATTGGTGGCGAAAGGACCTCCTTAAAAAATCGATACTTTCATCCCTCTTCCACCTTCCCCCCTCTTCCCCCTTCTCCCCCCTTCTCCCTATTTTTTCACTTTCCCACTTTCCCTATTTTCTCTATTTCCCCCTTTCTCCAAATTTTCGCATTTATGTAGTAGTAGGGTTTTTATGATACTTCCCATGCCCCCTCCTTTAAACGCAAAAATCCAAAAACCTTGAAATACGTCATTATTTACATTTATGAGTAGCCGCAATTCCAATTATCAAGTTCCTATATTTAAAAAGGCGAAAGTCCACCTTACACCGTCATCTATTAGGAATTCATAGAACTAACCAATAAATACACAATATTTAGGCATTCCATACGCGGTGCTAAGGTTTGGTATGTTTAAAGGGTTGCGACATACGATGTAGTCTATCTGCATTATATGAAATCATAAATAATGGATGAAATTTAAACATTTTATGTTGAACACAATGAAAATATTATTTTAAAAAAAACCGCTTATACATTTTCTATAAATTGGCAGGCTCGGCGACTATTATTTCAAATAAAAATAGCGTCCAAGATGGAAGGCTATGTCGCAACCCCTTTAAATTTTCTAACCCTTCCCGCTGTCAGCTGTTGTTTAAATCGTTGGAATGCCTAATGCACTAGTTCAGTGTGATGTCATTTTGGTTCCACTGACATTTAATTCTAACCAAACTTTTAACAAAAACATCAATAAATTTGACATATACGTTTTTACTGTTTTAAATTTATTTTTATTAATTATTGTTTACAAGTCATAAAAAATAGTTTAAAGGTAAGTAATTTGTAACTAAACGATTGTATATTTGATGCATGTTATCTACTTACTTTAGGAATATATTTATAAAAGTGAAAAAACGATATAATTTAGGTAAACAAAACGAACAAAACGCACTCAAAAAATCTACTGTCACTTTAATTGTCAGTGGAACCATAATTACATCATCACTGAACTAGCGCTTTGTCGTATAATAAACATTTCATTTGCAATAACAAATATTGAGGTCAATAATTGAGATAAAAACTATCCTATCTTTTAAATTGGACCAAATTACAGATA